AGTAACTGGTGGGTATGGGTGCTGGAGCAGGAGATGGGGCTATTCATCTGTGCCATCCCACCGGGGAGAGCGCAGCATCCGAGCGGGGAAAGGGCCTCTCTGCCTGCTGTTATTTTTAGTACCTCCTCCTCCGCTCCTCCCTCTGGGGCACAGCCGGAGCTGGGAGCGGCGGGCAGTCAGCGTAGACGAAGAGCCGGGGCTTCGCTGTGCCGCCTGCTCACAGCGTCGGGCGTCTCGCCCGAGCACAGCACCGCCTGTTCCTGTTTGGGCCGCGGCCGCTCACTCCCAGCCTGCTGCCTTGTGCTGAGAGCTGACGAAGCTCTGCACAGCGGCAGGCAGCACCCCTCTATCCTGTGAGATCCTCGGTGGACCACGGGAGATAGTCCGAACCCGGAGGGGCTTCGCTGTGCCGCCTGCTCACAGCGTCGGGCGTCTCGCCCGAGCACAGCACCGCCTGTTCCTGTTTGGGCCGCGGCCGCTCACTCCCAGCCTGCTGCCTTGTGCTGAGAGCTGACGAAGCTCTGCACAGCGGCAGGCAGCACCCCTCTATCCTGTGAGATCCTCGGTGGACCACGGGAGATAGTCCGAACCCGGACGTCCTCACCAGAGCAGGCACCCAAGGTGGAACCAAGTCAAGCCACAGCACTGGCAGGCCATGAACCATGCTTCTCAGTGACTGAGTCATTTGCTTCATTAAAGTTAACACTAATAATTTTGCTTTTCTGCCTGTCTTCTTGTTCTCAGGCTATGTTTTTAAGCTTTTCTAAGCGATCACTACATCACTCTTACTAAGAGATTCGGGGTCCTTTTTACATGGCTCCAAGGGCTCACGCTTTAAGGAAAAATACTGACAATTAAAGGAGCTGAGCATGTGAGATTTCAGGTAGGGCAAAGAGTAGTTTAATATTTAGTGACATGGTTTAGTGATGAACTTGGCAGTCCTGGGGTAATGGTTGGACTTGGTGATCTTAAAGGGCTTTTCCAACCTAGTAGAGTCTATGACTTTGACAGACATGTTTTATAGACAGTGTTAAAAGCAGCTAAAAGAAGGAAAGTCTAAGGTGACTGTCAGAGAAAATGCTAAAACGAGTTCCTAGGAAGGAAGCAGGACTGTAGCCCTTGGCTGTTGTAGCTCTTGAGGGGTGGAAGGAGGGTTGTCACTGATACGATGGTAGATAAGATAGCAGAGCTGCTATGCTCTTGCCACCTCACACTCAAAAGAACGAGTCACACTTCATAGCTATTCTAGAAAAATGTGTGGTTGTGTTCCTCTCTGCATTATGCTCTCTGCATCATTACTCCCTACTTCCTTGATGCTTTCAACTCTTTTCCTACTTGGAGGATATCTAGAAGTGCAGGTTTTCATTCAGCTGAAACCAGCGATGCTGAGATAATGCTGTTATGCCAGGGCCTGGGGCTTCAAAAGCAGGAGGGAATGCCATGAAACTCCGATTGAGATCCACACTCCAGTGCTAGCCTAGGAAAGGGAGTGTTTGCATTCAAACATCCCTCACTTGTTTATGAGAGGGCTGAAAAAATATGTCACACTGATGGTTTTATTTGTGTGGGAATCCAAAAGATGGGTACAACACACTTTGGAAGAAGGCAAATGAAGAAATTAGGTAATCGTCTGATGCTACAAACCTCTCAGTAAAAATGGATATGTGAGGCTGTTTTCTCATGTAAGTATCACCCAGCTTCTTAGGACTGCTTGAAAAACCTGTGCAAAACAACTGGCCAATATATTTCCTTGTTTTTGTGTTCAGTTTCAAAATTCAGTGAAATTTCAAAGTGGAAAAAATTTTGGCGTCTTTTATGATTCAGCTGCACTGGTTTGATTTGTTAAATAAATCCTAATGTGTGTCTATCTTTTCTTGGTTTGTTTTGTTTTTCTGAACAGGGACTTTTGAGAATTAATTACAGTTTTGGAAGTTTCTCCCACTGCTATTCCCGACTGAATCAGCAAAATGCCTGCTCCAGCTCCAGAACTGTGGAACTGCATCCCAGAAGAAATCCTTATCCAGATTTTCTGTTATCTTTCTCTTCAAGATAGATACACAGTCTTCCAGGTGTGCAGACGGTGGGCTGCAGCTGTGTCTTCTAGCTCTGTCTGGTACTTCACAGAGATCAGGTAAGAGGAATGAGGTTCTAATGTCCAAACATCTTTGCAGGAGTAACTAGATCATTGTTTCTAGCGAATGTCAAACATTTCCACCACTTTGCTATGACATTATTGACATTGTGACTTCTATGTGTGATGATATTATCTTACATGTCTAGCACCTGTTTATGTAATAGAGAAAATTGTGTTATATGCTCTTTTTTCAGTTGCTGCTAATGGTTTGAGTTCCATGGGAAATAATTGCATTCTTAGGTTCACTGTTCCAAGTTGCCATTTGTAAATGACAAGCGACAAAGTGACTGAATAGTTATCCTTCTTGTGACACTTCTCTGATGGGTCTTTATGGGAACTGACCCTTCTCACTGCCTGACTCCTTCAGTGTTTGGCCTTACAGTGACTCTCCAGGCATCAAGTGAGAAGAAGTGCCTGGGGGGTCTGTTGATGTTTGCAGAAGCACTAGTAAAGGAGAGTGTCTGCTCCGTGGTAACCAAGCTCAGCGTTCACAGTTACTGAGAGTTTGTTTTCCCCTTCCAGCTGTGATTCAGAGGATGAGGAAGGCATGCTGCAGAGCCTGCTCCAGTTCCTCAGCCAAATCAAGCACTTGAAGATCGTGTTTGACCAGTCCAAGGAGGTCAGCCGGAAGAATGTGACACGCATCTTGGATGTGTTGGCAAAGCAGAACCACAAGCTGCAGCAGCTGTGCATTGTGTGCCGCGGGGAGAACCCCTATTTCTACTCTGGCCAGGACATCCTACAGAGTATTCGGAACATATGTGACGCTAAAAACCAGATAGATCTTCAGCATGTTGATTTTCGGCAAATGCCCTTCACTCTCAGTGATGAGCTTGTTGAACTCTTAGCTACCACCAACCCAAACCTGCACAGTTTGTTCATCAACAACCGCACCCTGGTGTGCAACGTGGCTCCAGACACCATTAGGAAAGTTCTCAGAGCATGTCCCAGGCTCTCGGCCTTGGGGGTTTACTATGCCAGTTTGTCTGATGACGTATTTCAGGAACTGCTCAAGCCTGAAAGAGCAGCTTTCACCCATTTAGACATTTTCTGTGAGCGTCTGGATAAATATACACCAGTGGTCTCAGAAGAGCTCTGGGCTGCTGTAAGCCAAAAGCATCCTGAACTCTGTGTAGACCTAGAGTTTGATCATACAGTCCCTGCCTGCAAAATACCACAAATCCTAAAGCTGAATATACCTGTGAGCACCCTGCAACTTAACACCTATAATTACATGGTCAATCAGATTAGGTTTGTGACCCAGAGCTACAGCAGTACTTTAAAGAAGCTGACACTGAAAACCACGTCCTCCAAGGACTTAAATTCCTCTCTAGTGGATCTGGCTAGACAGTGCAGAAATCTGTTGGAGATCCACTGCTACTGTGTGGTCAGCCAGGAGGTGGTAGAGGCATTCCTCACACACTGCCCCAGTCTGAAACAGTACACTCTGAAGGTCACCAAGGAATGGCATCCCTGGAAACCAGTAACACTTCAGTGACCAGTCTTTGTAGTTCTCTGCTTCTTATATAGCAGGAAAGCCAAATTTACCCTTTGCAGGTTTTTACTGAGGACCTCAGTGAAACTTCATTTTGATTCTACATTTCAAAAGAACCGCAAAGTCAAGCATTTTGTGTCAGGTACTCAGCAACCACTTAAATAGACAGTTAAGGAAGTGGCAGCATCAATGCAGCCATTTCCTGCCCGGTGGGGTACTTAGCCATGCAGATTCAGTGAGCTATAGCAATGGACTGTGGTCATCTGGTGGAAAATCCATTCTAACCTTGATAATTCCTCTTTTGGCATTTCAATGATGGTGAGCTCACCCGTTATCAGGTAACTTCCAGCTTGGAGGGATAGAACAGGGGCTGAATTATGTTAGAAAATTTGAGCAAGGGAAAAAACATTGCAGGAAAAACATTCACAAGGTAGTAATAAAAGACATGTAGCCTGCAAATTCCCTTGTCCATCTTGTCTTTCTCTTGCTCAGAAATGCAGATTTCCAGGTTGTAATTTGAATGCCTTTTGCAAAGACCTTTGCTTTTATTACCTTGTTAGTGTTTCTCAGGAGAATCAAGAGAACTAACAGTTTTTGCATCTGATACCTGCATTCACATGCAGGTTATCTTGCCTCTGAATTAGGAGATGTGTGTGTTGGTCTGTTGTATAAAAAATTTTGGTAAATGCTGTTTGAAAAGCAGTTTCTGAGTTTAAATGAGCCTGGGATAAAGCTGCACTGGGAGCGCCTATTTAGAGCTATCTAAAGCATTTATAATAATAATAACAACAATAATAATAAAAATATTATTGTCATTTAGATTCTATGTGTAGCTGGTTTTATCACCCTTTTTTTCTCACCCAAGAGCCAAATAATTTCTCTTGACAAGCAACATGGGATCTGTAGCCAAACCAGCTTACAATTCTGACTTTCCAAAACCTTGCTGAAGATGTGCAGCCCTGAGGTCTGGCCAGCCCTTGTGCATCTGTTCCAGCCAAAGTTTAGGACAATTCCTGTGTCTTCACCAGCCAGGCATTGTTGTGCCTGGGTGTCCCAGAGACTCTCGGCAGTGGATTCATGCTGGTGAGTTGCCAGGCTCCCAGCAGAAGGTGCTCCGCACGTGTTCCCTGTGCATGACACTGCGTGTTTATTCACAGCGCTGTGAGATCGGCTGCAGTGCACTTTCATTCTGTGTATTGTTCTCCAGGGCTGGTGATGCCATCGCATTGTGCTGAGTTTTGAAGAGTGCGAGCAGCACTGCTGATGTGACTCCCTGGGAGCCTACTTTCCACTGGCCCAGGATAAAATTGGGTGGTTGGTTCTCTGAACCCGAGAGCAATGGGGCTGGAGTAGCTGGGACGCTGGAAAACTATGCAGGATTCACCCAGCTCTCTGGTGATGGATGGATACTCCAGCAATGTGCCAGCCTTCCTAACCAAACTCTGGACGCTGGTGGAAGATCCTGAAACGAACCATCTCATCTGCTGGAGTACTGTAAGTACAGCGAGTATGGGGTGTCACTGAGTGCCTGCAACACCAGAAAAACTCAGGTTTGAGGCCTGAGCACTGCATTGCACAGCAACTTCCCTTTGCTTTACAGTGCCAATGGCTAACTGGGAGAGTGAAAGGACTGACAGTTCATTAGGAAGCCTTTTGGATATACTTGATATTATTTATCTGCAATATTGTGGCTTTTCTGTTCCAAAGGGCAACTGGTTTGGGAGTATTTTAGTAACAATATATATACATCTCACTTGAAGCATCTTAAAGGGTGTCTGATACCGAGTCTTGTAAAAAGCCAGGCTCTTTGAGGGAGGTTTTCATTTCAGTTGAATGTGCAGTTTCCTAAGATTTTCTAGAAAAGGTGCAAAGTCCTTAAAAATTTTCACTGCTGTCCGTATTGCAGCTAAGAAACACACGTCTTTCAGAAACACCTTGGAAGCAGGCAGCAGATAAACAGCATTTAGACCTCGGGCTAAAACTTACAGTTTAAACATATCTCAGCCTGGCACCCTAAATCACTCTCATTTTGGAAGAGCTTTACTTGATTTTTCAACAAGTCTGTGTGATGATCATGGCGATGTGTGTCTGTACAGTTTCATAGAGATAGATTGCTTTGGCTTCTTATTTGTCACTAGGGCAGTAAGTGCAATCAGAGAATTGAAATTATTTATTTGTCCCCCACATACAGCATTTTGATACCAAATTGTGCTTTTGACCTAAGACTTGTTGCAAATAATGTGATTTGTCTTCAGCAGGGAGTTAATGTGTCATGGGCATAAACGTGTTCTCCAAAATTGAGAACCTATAACAAAAGCCAGACTTAAGGGTGATGGGGAGGGAAGTCTAAAGCAGCCTTTCTGAGCCTTTCTGTCATGTATTTGTGTCCAGCAGAGTTTTCATTGAAGACATGAGATAGTATTTGAGCTGCATTATTATCAAGGTAGTGGTTGCTTTCTGATGTTGGTATTACATGTCCATATCTTTCAGAACCACCAAGTTTTAGTGGATGCTTTCTGATGTTGGTATTACATGTCCATATTTTTCAGAACCACCAAGTTTTGGTATTGTGTGTTTTAAATGAGGACTTTCAAACTGGGAAGGATGTTCTAACATGCATCAATAATCCCCTGTCTGTTACAACATCATTATTTTTGACTGACCATCACCACCTTGCTTTGCTTTCCTGCAACCTAACATAGGCTACAGCTACATTCTTGGGAGGTTTTGGTAAGGCTTTCAGATATCTAAGTTTCCCAGGTTGCATGTTCCCATGTTTCCCAAGTTCTTCCTCTTCTAACCATCAGTGTTGTTGGAGCTGAGAAATTGTGTGTGTGCCTTAGATTTCTGTCCACAATCAGAACTCTTAGAAAAAAGGACCTATGAAGGAGGAGAGATGAAGAGGAAACATGGTAATGGTTTATATATACACTAAAGGCAGTTGTAAGATGGAAAGCAGAAGTCTGCTGTCTGTGCTCATGGTAGATTGGACAAGAAGTAATTAGATTAGTAGGTTTTTTGAAATGGAAGATGCAGTTAGAAAGAACTCCTAGCAAATTTCTGATATAGCTTTCCTGGGCAGAGCACAGGGTGTCCATCACTGCGTGTCTGTCAAAAACAGTGAAGTTAAGCATCTGCCAAGACTGACAGAGTCAATTTTGCCTTGGGCAGAGAAGACTTTCAGAGTTGCTCCCAGTTGGTGCTCCTGCGATGTAAGACAAGCTGCTGTGTGGGAACAAGCTGGTACACGCAGGGTTCACTGGTGAACACACAGTAACTCCGAAGTCTCTAGTGTCTCTAGGTGCCTTTTGGGTGCGCCAGCTTCTGAGTACACTGCAGCCTTAAATTCAAAGGAATGACCTCTCAAGAGAGGCCATAAGGAGATGTTCAGGTCACAAACCCCTTGTGCTTCTCATTTTACAGCAGTGTGTGCAGCCTAGGATGCACAGTTGTATCCCAGAGAGTGCATGGACAGAAGCATAAGGGAAGCAGGACAAATCAGCTCTGTCCCCAAGGCAGCTTTTGCAGTGCTGAAAAACCCTGGTCCCTGCTGTTGTATCTGCAAGCTTGGTCTGTGATGATACTTCCAGCATAGAGGTTATTAGTGAATCTCTTAAGTTCTGGATCAGCCTTTGCTTCTGCTGCATGGGGTAAGGAATCATAGGGAAAACCCTGGCGCTGTTGAGGCAAACAGTTCTGTACAGTGTGTGCAGCAGTGAACAAGGAGCAAGTAGAGCTGACACAAAGCCGCATGTTTGTGGGTATGCAGGGTTGTAAGAACTGACAAACAAGCCAGAGCACAGAGGGAATTGAGGGAATTCATCTTCATCTTCAGTGATGAAGATGTAGTGGCAACCAATAGGGCTGCAGGGTTTGCCACAGATGCATGTGGGACCTGCACTGAGCACTCATGGTCCTCTGTCCACTGTGAAATAACTCCGCAGGCTGTCGCACCACCTGACTGCTGGTAATAGTACTGAACACAGCAGAAGGATGACAGTGGCTGTGCTGGTCTCAGACCCTCACTTGCCAAAGTCATGCAGACCCTGGTGTCTTTGGCTTGCTGTCGCTTGAAACTCAGCTGCAGCTGGGTTGGTATGTCCCTAACATCTGCTGGTGGCTTCTCACTGGCATAGGTCTCTGCATCTTGCCTGTCTCTATAAAGCTGTGAGCTTAGATTGCACAGTTGGGTGGTTCCCCTGGCAGCTCTTTGCAGCTTCTTCTCCACAAGCAAAGCCAGTGTTTGCCCCGCAGTAACATTCTGTGCAAGTTCACAAAAATGCACCATATGCTGCAAAGCCTGAAATCATGATTCTTCATTCCTTCAAACTCCATCCTGAGCAGAGATGGGATTTAAGGTGGTTTCCCTATCTCCATATCCTGGAGACACTGAGGCTGCTGAGGCTGGGCATTTAGAAAACGTTGAAAATTAATCGTCAGTTCTTCTGTCCCTTATAAAGCTTGCATGAATTGCTGTTTGCAGAATGTTTCAAGGCAGCTTCAGCATGTTGTGTCTCACAGGCCCTCTCTGTACAGCTGAACTGTCAGCAGGTAGAAGGCCAGGCAGGGAAAGCACATGGCCTGCAGTGTGCCTGTCTCTGCCAGCAATGCTAGGCAGTTTGCATTGCTTTGCAGTCATGGATCTTAGCAGTGCAAACCCAGGAGCGGGTATTTTATCTGGTTAATATGCATGTTGCTAGCTTGGACTGTAGAGCATGACTGTTAACATATTGCAGCTTGCCTTTGTGGCTGTGTGCTTTCAAAGATAATCAGGACATGGTGTGTAGAGCTTCAGGATCAGTGTGGTGTCTCCAGAGATGATGTGCTTTGATGATGTGCTTTCTTGCCTTGATGTGTTTCTTGTGCCATGTTTCCAAGCTGCGATCCCTCCAGGACTGCTGTGCTCTGGAGTAGATGGGTTGGGTTAGACCTATACAAGCAGATTGATGGTTTATAATGGCAGTTCCTACTTTCCAGGAACTCTTCGGACACCAGAATCTTTCTGTGACGTCCATGCAAGGGGGGCTGATCACAGGCTGACAGAATCTGGATCCAAAAGTCTGCAGTTTTTCTCACATCTGAGGTTCTCAACTAAGCAGTGGCAAAGCTTAGTAGGAAATGATCAAAACTGCAGTCGTAGAGGACTGACTGTACCAGAACTGAAAGGAGCACATGCGTCACTGAAGGATGCTGTCATTGCTCTTAGCTTCAAGGTGGCAATTCTGAGAGCATGACTTGCCCTGCTGTAGGACTCAAGGGAACCACCACCTCCTGGGCCCCTTTCATGGTCAGGGATGCTCCTCCTTTGTCCTTGTCTCCTTTGCAGAATGGCACCAGCTTCCATGTGTTCGACCAAGGACGCTTTGCCAAAGAGGTGCTGCCCAAGTATTTCAAACACAACAACATGGCCAGTTTCGTCCGGCAGCTGAACATGTGTGAGTTCAACCTCCAGAGCCTGGCCATGGGGGTCCTACAGACATGGGTGTGACAGCAAGAGCAGGTGGGACAGAAGCATGAAAGAGAAGCGTGCATAGAAAAGTTATCTCCCATTTATGCATTATTGTGGTATTACTGGTTTTCCTGAAGAGGACTTGCCTCTGAGATCCAGGGGATCCCAGACTTCCTTGCACTGAACTTAGATTCCAGCATGAAATTTCTGTTAGATTACACTGTGAGATGTACAAATTTCAGGTACCAGGTTTTCTGCTTCTCAAATTGCAGCAATTTGATGACCTATTTTTATTTCTTTTCCGTTTTATTCTATATGGGGCTTTTTCCAGCAGCCTGATACCATGCCACCTCCCTCAGAAACTGCTGCTTCTGAGGGTAGCATGCCCAGAGCTTACCCATTTCACCAGCTGTACCGCTGAACTAATAACACAGTACTTCTCCCTATAAGCCTTGCCTTGCTGATAATTTTCACCCTTTAAAGGAGGTTTAGGTGTAGTTTTCAGACATATCTAGATCATGACTGTATTAAGTATGGTTCTTTTCTGATAGCTTTGGGAAGTTTTTCAATGACTAATTCACAAAATTCTTCAGTTAAGTTCTAACTTTTATGTTTAACTATACAGTACCTTTTAGGCCAGCTCATAGATACAGTTTAGAAATGTTTCTAGGACTTCAGAGAAGTACTCAGAGTAGATTTCTAAATATGCATGGGACCCTTCTTTTCCTAAAGGGGCACCTGCTGCTGGTCTGTGCCTTTGAAAATCCTTCCCCTGAATCGCTTTGGCTTGCAAATTGCAGACTGGTTTGGATTGGAAAGGATCTTAAAGCTCATCCAGTTCCACTCCCTGCCACAGGAAGGGACACCTTCCATTAGACCAGGTTGCTCCAAGCCCCGTCCAAGCTGGCCTGGAACGCTGCCAGGGATGGAGCAGCCACAGCTTCTCTGGGCAACCTCAAACCAGAGATTTCATAACAGCGGGCATTTTAGCTCCTGTCAGTCCAACACGCTCAAGGGTTTGCTGGCAGCTCTTCCATGTTGTGGGCCAGCAGCTGGGGTGGCCAGTGGGATGCTCGGTGCACTTCTTTATGCTGGATTTCTTGCAGATGTGGCCCAAAAGCATGCCCAGATGCAGGGAGGGGGCACAGCTTGAAAAAGTGGGGGGAAAGAACAGAAACATCCTCAGAAGTGACAGTGTGGGAGTTGAAGAGGAAGGTCTGGATCTGTTGGCCCTTCACCCACACCCTCTCCTTGCAGATGGCTTCAGGAAGGTGGTGAACATCGAGCAGGGGGGTCTCGTCAAGCCCGAGCGGGATGACACTGAGTTCCAGCACCTCTGCTTCCTGCAGGGCCACGAGCACCTCCTGGAACACATCAAGAGGAAGGTAAGGGGACACGGGGTGGGGGGACACCCAGTGAACTCCTTGGGTGGGAAGGAAGGCTGAGGCATGGCAGACCCCTGCTCCAGAGGGTTCCACACCACCCATAAGGAGAGGCTGCATGGTGTTTCTTCAAAACATCCCTCGGCAATATGCCCCACAACTTAGTCTTTGTGTGGACATGTAGCTCCCTTGGTTTGCTTTAAGCCTGTTGTCTCTATTTAATTTATTTCCCCCAGGCCTTCTGCTAGGAGAAAAGTAATGAATACTTCCCAGTATTTCCCATCCCTCAGGCATCTTGAGCAGGAAATGCCTTGTTTCCCTCCCAGCAGGAGCCTTGGGCCTTTCTAACCCCCCGAAATGCCCTTTTTTGGGGTGGATTGACCAGAACAGCACTCCGTGGTCATTGTGAGGGTTTATACCACAGCTGCATTTCTCTCTTTAACTCCCCAAATGCTCTATAGCTTTCAGATCACAGGACCCTGTGCTATGGACCGCTCAGCATGACTCCGCAATCACTCTGTGATCTGGTTTCTGTCCATCTCCATGGACAGTTGGGGCAGGGGTCTTCAGTGTGCAGGCCTGCACTTTTAGTAGAGTTTTGACCGTGGTTATTTGCTCTGTTGTCGGTATTACAAGACCTTTGTGTAGTGCTGCAAGGCCAGACTTGCTTCTACCTCTGCTTTTGAATTGTTACAAGTACAGCATAACTCCTGCAGGGTCTCCTGACAGTCATCTCCTGTTATTATAGAAGAGATAACCTTTTTCTGTCCTCCGTTTTCTGTTTTTTAACCTGTTACTGATGCCCAGAAACAGCTGTCCTCTTTTAGAATTAGCATAGCAACTCCAGAAAAGGGGCTTCAGCAAAAGCCTTCTGGAAATACAAATGTAGTATGTCAATACGACAGCCTCATCCATGTAAAACACAAGGCTGGATTGTGTCTATCTGAAGTTAAAGTAGAAAGGTTTAATCAAACAACCCAGTTCAATTCCTCCCTGGTCCTCAAAACACTGTATTTGTTTTTCTTTCCATAAGCTGATTTGAAAGAAGTTCCCCTTCTGCTGGGGAATGTTCTGCTGCCAACACACCCTCTGCATGAAAGGATTTGTCCTGCTCTTTGCTGTGTTTTATCCCTTTGGCCCTTGCAGTAATACCTTAGGGATAGTTCAGACTCTTGTGCACGTTGCCTGTCCCACTATTTCAGCACATCAGAGCCCAGCTAGTGGAAGTCCTGCCCCCAGGCCACAGCAATGACTCTGCCCATGACCCTTCTCGTGTTGGTAAAATCCACCTTTGATTTTCCCTCCTCAGGTGTCAGTAGTGAAAAGTGAGGAGACCAAGATGCGCCAGGAGGACCTCAGCAGGTTGCTGTATGAGGTACAGATACTGAGAAGTCAGCAGGAGAACATGGAGTGTCAAGTGCAGGACATGAAGCAGTGAGTTGAATCCTACTTAGGTTACATTTGCTTCTCTAGAGTTGTTGGTCTTGGGGAATTTTTGAAAGAAGGAGCCATGTGGGATTTCTATGCAGACCCTGTGATCTACAAAATATGAATTAATGCTGAGCCTCTGTCTTCTGTGAAAGGTAGATATACTCTCTTCATCTGTGTTTTCCCTTTATAGATGAGGAAAGCACAGAGGCAGCCGTGTAGGAAATATGTGTATAACCTGGGGACTTAACTCAGATAACTGCATTTCCTCCAGATAGAAATCTCTCTGCCATCCTCCACCTTCAAAATACATGACTGGCCTAAAATATATAAGAACTCCTGCAGTGTTTATAGTGTGGACCCATCTCTTTGAAGACTGTGTCTTCTGACATGGCCAAGATTGTTGTATAAGAGCAGAACAAGCAAACACAATGCTGCTTGCATGTGGCTGCCTGATCTCCAGCTATCTGAGCCTCTGGGATTTTCTGAGTCAGACATGGTCCCTAGGAATTTAGTCAATGGATGTGGTTTTATAAATCAGGTACTCTGAGGGGTTTTTATTTGCCTCCAGAATTTTAAGTCTTACAGAGGACTGTTTAAAAAGCACTTCAATAATCAAAAAGATCCCCAAACCCTTTTTTATACTGAAAGCTGATATACATGCATCACCAGATGACCCTGGCGTCCCAGGCTTTGACATAACACCTCATACTGGGAAGCTTCATTCCAGCCCAGCACCCTGTGTGCTGTGGATAAATATGTTTATCCTACCTCAGTTTTTATGATGCCCACACTTAGCATGTGCATGAAAACCACAACATGAAATCCAGGTGCAGTGGCAATGAAAGAGTTTCTAGGCTTGTATCTTGTTTAATTTTTAAGGAATTCCAGTATCAATGATCTGGCCTTGATTTTAGTTTATTGTCCCTTTTGTTTTGCTTGCTACCTTCCTCCATCTAGCAAAAGGTAAAATTGCATTCAACTGAAGAAAATAATACGAATTTTATAAAGTAAGACAGACCAGAAATCCCAGGCTGAAACCACCGTGCAGAACCATTAGGACAAAACTCCAGTATGAGCTGTCAGACTAAGGAACCTGCTTTTCTGAAAATCCTGTCAGTACCACTTCAGAAAGTTTACTGCAGAGACACCGGCTGCGGTACTAGGGCAGCTGCTGTGCTGTTTCAAGCCCTGGACCTTACCTTCCCAGTTCAAATATCAATCCACACTAGAAAAGCTAAAAAATCCCAAAGGATTTATAAATTTCACCTGTGTGATAGGTTTTGCTGGCCTGACAGTTTTCGTACATCCATATACTCAAGATAAATTGGCTGACATAATCTTCTGGTCATGGACTTGGCTGGCATCCGAATTTGCAGGCAGCACAGTAAATAAACTCAGCAACTTCCCATCACACTTTTTGGGTTGACTGTTCGAGGAAGCCTGTAAACTCCCCTGTGTGCTGCATCTGCAGACAGAAATTGAATATGCTCTATGCAGTTGCAAGCTGGACACAGGCCTGTGCTGTATGAAATCAGTGACTCCCACTGATAAAACCATTACTATCCTCCCAGTTCAAGGCTCTAAGATGCAGAAGCATCTCTCTAGCTGCTCCAGTCAGTCCCAGACATACCTCAAACCACCACATGTTTGAGGTTTCAGCTGGCAGAATACATAGGCTCACTATCCATAGGATCTCTTGGCCCTTGGGGGCACTGGGGCAGTTACAGAGAGATTGGGCTTTCTTGGCTTCTGCAGGAAGAACAGTCTTCGTATTCAAAATCATACCAAGTCACAAGTCAGGCCTTGCTGAAATTCTGAGTTTGACCAAAATGCCCCATGAAATCCACACATGTGCCCTCTTGTACCCTCTCCTATAAATGTTGGATTCTCTTTTATTTGCTTTTTGTCCATGATTTGTTCTTTTGAGGTCAATGAAAAACAAGGAAAGCAAATGTGTGATCCTGTTTGGGACACCTGAAAATAGCCAAGCACTGCAAGAGCCCCAGAGTGGGACAGACTTTGCACAGCTGGCTCTGCTGTGCATCATGGCAGCACCATGCGCTGTTTGGATGTGCTCATGGAAAATTTGTTTCTCTTTCAGGCAAAATGAAGTTCTTTGGCGGGAAATTGTTTCTCTCCGGCAGAACCACTCACAGCAACAGAAAGTGATCAACAAGGTAGTGGTCATATTAACTCCAAACTCACTTCTATGCCATGGTGTATGTCCTTCTCTGATTTTTGTTTTTCTTGTCCCGTACTCTTCTCCACACTGATATTGTAGTATATTTATTTTCCCTCTCTCTCAAACTGTGTGATGCTCTTACATGTCCTATGGAAAATGGTCATTAACACAGCACAGATTATGCCCTTGAGCAAAACATTTTAATTTCCCTGCCAGTCCTTGCTGATGCTGATGTTAGAAACCACTTTTTCTGTTGAAGACCTGAGCAAGAGAGCACAACTCTCACTAATTGCCCTGTATTGGCTGAGTTCTGCTTTTACAGGTGCCTTTGGGTTCCCCAAATCTTTTCTCTTTCCTTTGTACAGGAGAGGAGCCTCCCCCTCCTGCCAGTACTGAAGCTGCAGGCAGCAGAATTGATTAGCCATTCCCCCAGTGGTGACCTCCAACAACTGTTACATTTGCTGGTGTTACTGGTATAGAATCATAGAATGGTTTGGGTTGGAAGGGACCTTAAAGCTCATCCAGTTCCAAACCCTGCCACGGGCAGAGACACCTTCCACTAGAGCAGGTTGCTCCAAGCCCTGTCCAACCTGGCCTTGAATACTGCTGGGATGGAGCATTGCCCACTTCTTCAGGCAGTTGTGAAATTTCTAGTTGATGAATTACTGTACAACCTTTTAGACCCAAGGAGAGCTGCAGAACCATTTCCCATAACACCTAGCATGACCACTACTAGAAAAGGCCTCTCCAGTGATTCCCAGATGGTGCTGATGTGACTGACCACGTCACATTGCCCAGTCCCCCCGAGAGCCACGTTCTGACCCTCACGTGGCATCACAGAGTCATAGGACCAGATAGGAATGCATGAGGCTATCACGCCTTCCTCCAGCTCTGAGGCTCGGCCCGCCCCACCACTCATCGTGGAAACATTTATGCAACTCTTTTTTGTTATATTGAGCAATGAGTAAGAGACAGCTGTGATGTAATTACGCTCTCTTTGTCTGGAGGGCAAAGCAGAGCATTAGGCTCAAGCTGACCTGGGAATACGTTGCCAAGTGATTCCTCTCTAAAGCCATTCTGCATCCTTTTTAGAGTCCTCTTCTATCAATGCTGAATTTCACAGGGCTGAAAAACTCATCCAAAAGAGCTAAGAACTCCATCCGGGTTCTCCCCTAGGGGTTTCCCTCTGTCACTTGCAAAGTCTTTGCCAGACCTTACAGAGCTTCTTGTAAAGGTCTCTAAAGACTCTAATAGAGGAAAAGTCTAACTGCAGGCCTAGGAGTGTTTGCATATGTACTTCATAGGCAGATTACCAGGTCTAATTGGGGTAACTGCAGTTCTGCTTGGACAGAAGCAAAGAGAGAAGGCGCTCAGCACCTGCAACTAGCAGCCTTTGCCCAAAGCAGGCACCTGGCTGAGTTCCTTGAAAGCCAGGCAGGTCGTTTGAGTTCTTGGAATGCTCGGAGCTGTCTTGGGCTCCAATGTCTCATGCCATTTGGCTCCCACATTCCATGGCTGCTCCCAGCTTTGGGGTGGTGTCGGGAGGGAGGAATGCGTGAGATAAGAATGGCTGTGAGAGCAGGGAGTGCTGAATCACTCTGCTGATGAACACCGAATTTTGATCTCTCCTGACAGCTGATTCAGTTTCTGTTTGGCCAGCTCCAATCAAGCCCTAGCAGCACTGGGATAAAGAGGAAGCTGTAAGTACCCTTGTGTGGTGCGCACACGCTCACGGGTGCATAATGCTGCCCCTCACTAAAAGCACAAGCTCAGCTTGCCCAGGCGGGCGGTCACCGGACCAGGGCACCATGGTGATGGGAAATGAATGGGCTGAACTGCCGAGTCAGACCTGCTGACATGCCCCATTCTGTGGCCTTTAGAGAAGCACCGTGTCAGCTCGTGACCTTTATTGGGGGAACACAGCACGCGGTCGGAGATGGGAGCACTGACTAGTGGGAGGATAAAGGGCAGGACCCCACTGCTGGTCCTACAGTTTTGCCACTTGTCATCAGTAGGAGCAGGGCCTGTACAGAGTAGGAGCAGAACCCAGCTAGCCCACAGACACCTTTAGTCTGACCTGCAGTCACTGCATGGGGAGTGTCTTCAACACAGGTTTAGTGGCAGGTAACCTACAGGCCTGGCAGAGAGGAAGGTGGAAAAAGATCTTAGATGAGATAAGTAAGACAAATAGGCTCTTCATGGGCGTGATTGGCATGCCTGTAGGTGTCACAGGAAAGTCTGACCTGGGAGGCTTTAAATGGGTTAGTTGCCAAAGTTAAGTGTTGGGTGGAGGGTCATCTGTGGTCCTTGGAGCAGAGAGCTGGAGACTTAGAAATTCATAATTGTCTCAGGGCTGACTATGATATCTCACTGTGTGCTAAAGGACAGATTATGCCATAGCGAGGTCCATGTCAGGGTGATTCAAATGTTCTTTTCTATTCTGTGTCTTTAG